CGCGTACCCGAATATGACGTAGGCAAGGACATGCGCAAGCTGAACGAGTTTTAGACAATTGATGAGCATACCCTTGTATTTTTATCATGGATCTGACTAGATATAATTTATAATATTTATATACCTAACAGCCTAGAATGAAAGACGTGAGTTTGTAGAACTTATTTTAATATACTCGGATTAACACAATCGATAGAATTGTTTATGCAAAAGCAACTAATACTGTATGTTAACAAATATTATGAATCAGTAATAAATGTTTTAGTTATACAATTTTGATCCTTATTTTTAACTTCAGCTAACCTAATTTCCCACGTGTTGAAATAAAATTTTAATTGTTCTATATTAATGTTGAAAAGTATATGTATTAACACACTAATTGTATAAATTAATAAAAATTGATTGAAATTATCCATAAAGATCTATAAATAGTGATTATGTAACATATGTGTTCTGTTGAGCTGGTGTTCGAATTAGAATAACAATGCGAATTATAATTCAGATTATGACAGAAGAACTGTGTTGCAATTGTTTGGTAATATCATTGCAGGTACATACACACAATTAACTGTCTATTACAATCTGAAGAAAATTCCTATAATTAGAAAAGACACACCTCACACATAGAGAATTAGTTGTAAAGATTTTATTGTATAATGGAAGAAGAAGATAGGTCACATTATATATATCTTTTAAAAAATCTCCCAACTTGTTTGGCAACTCTTTTCGAAAATGATAATGAAGAAGAAGGATCTCGAGAAATAGCTGTTGCTCTAATGACCTGTTTTGCTGTGTATCTAAAAAAATATGCGTTTACTGTATTGAGAGATTTTAGAACTAAACAAATTGTCCAGATATATAAATCACTAATTAGCAAAGGCAATAAGCATGTAGAGTCTCCTGAAGCTTGGCAAAGAGCCTTAAAATTGGAAGCAAAAAGAGAAAGAAAATTTGTTATGAATACTATGACGACTACTACTAGAGAGAAACTTGTTCTATTGATGGAAGAATATAGAGTGCCATCAGAACAATGGTATTTACTTCTAAATTTGTTGTTAAATGTTCAAAAGCATATGAAAGTTTTGCCTAATGGTAGTGTACAATTACCACCTGGAAAAGAGATAGATGATATCATAAACATAATCTATAGAGATGAAATGGAGCAAATTTATGTATTTACATATTCACTAATTGCACGCTTACGGAGATTCTACTCTATTAGACAAATTGTGAGAGTATTAGTTGACTAACGAATTAACGAAAATTTACAATAATTACATTAAGATGATTTGCCATGACGTAACAGTTTTGTTACAATAACATTTTTTAATATTTGTTAAAAATTAAATAAAGCTGATTTTGAAAAATAAATATTTTTTATTTTTTTCAAAAAACGTTTGATTCTTTACTTAAAATTTTTCTATACTGAATATTTCATATTGTAATATCCCTCCATTTAGAAATAATTGTGTATTTTAGTCAGCACATGTAAGGGTACATTTGATTCTTTTATACATAATTATATTTCTGAATATTTTAAACATAATACAGCTGAAATGTATTTTTATCAGTTATTGAACAATTTTTTTACAAATTTTGCAGATATACCACTGAGGATTCTCCATATAATTAATGTTTTATCGAAATACTATTTCGAAATTAATTGTGCAAACAGTTATAAATATTTTAAAGATTAGTATTTTTACAATAAAATTACCAAACAGTTTCAATACAATTTTTCAATATAGTTTTTTATATACAAGGTGTAGTTTTTTATATATCGGTTATAGCAGCTTTCGTCACTATTTAATGCCTCTCTAGTTTCTTGGAGTTTTTAAATATAAGTTTAATTTTTTTACTTAATAAGCTTACTAGCTTTAAACCTCAACTCTTTATAAAATGTGGCCGAGATGATAATTGAGATTGGAAAATTGAAGGATACATGGGATCGACTCTGGAACCTGCGAGTCAATCGTTTTCAAGCGGAATCATCCGTCACATACTTGTACGCATACACACACACACACACGCACGCACGCACACACATTTATATATACATATATACATACAATTACTTTCAACGTAATATGAATGTTATTGGATATATATGCAATATTAAAAATGCTCTATAAAATAATAAATTTAATTTCTTTTATATCAAATCAATTAATTATATTAATTTGTTTCTAAAACTCTGTTGCTTAAGAAAACTTGGAATTTTTTTGCTTTGATGGTAAAAGCATGGAGTTAAACTTATTTTGTAATAAATTATATGAACCATATTTACAAAACTTATAAGATACAAATGGAATGTAAAAAGCTCTGAAGAATGGATGTGATCTGTAACATAAATGATAATAGAATATATCAGTTATAAATATAATTTTCATTAATTACAGTTAACATATATATATATATATATATATATATATATGTGTGTGTGAATAAAAGCTTTGAACTTACTTTGATGCATCTAGAAATTTAGAAGACTTCACAATAATAAACTGATGACTTAGGCGAGAGTAATTCGGTTCTAGAGCTGTTTCAGTTTCTGTATCCAAATCTAACAGAAAGTGGCACTTATCTAGACTAAACTGAAAGCAAAAGGCAGAGATATGATAATATATCTATAGTGCAGTAACAAAATATTATTATCTGCATATAAGATGGTACGTACATAACGCGATGGTTCTTCTTTATTCATATCATTAAAATGTGCTTGAATTACATTTGTTGCATTTTCATGATCTAAGAAGGGTTGAGGTAACTGTCCTTTAAATTCGGATCTCAAGTATTGTAACTTCCAACTGAAAATGATTTTTAAAATAATGTAATTATATCAAATTAAAAAAATATATCACTATATTGTATATTTGCATTAGCAATAGAGATGTGTTCTTTAACATATCCCTCTCCTTCAACAATAGAATTTCATAAATCCGGAAATTTTTATTTAAAACATTTTTGAAACTAGCAACTAATATTGTGCGCTAATTTTTCCACTTACTTGTTGGACGGAAAGAAAAAACTGCTAGGGAAACGATGCCATTCTTTTCCAATACAGAAGTTTATGTTAACGTCTCTAGGTATGTCTCCTTCTGTTTCCAATTTGTTGACTTCAGTCATAATTTCCATGGGAGCATAATATCCTAACGCATATAATCATAAACTTCTTATCAAACCCTATTATTTAAACCAAATCGCCTTTCATATAATAATAATAATAACCTTTATATATCGCCAATGATCTTGATAGTCCCAAGAGGCCACATATTAGTATTGTTAGAATGGTGATGTGTACAGTATATTGCAAATAGTGGCAACTAATATGCGATGGATTGAATTTCGTTCTAACATAAAAGTATAACTTCTGTACAATATCCACCGCTATAGCGCCTGCTAAACAAATCATAGGATACACTGGAAACAAGAACCGTTCCTCCTGTTGACACATTTATTTCGTCAATTCCTTCGTTTTCTATTTTATCAATTCATTACATATCAATAGTACATTTGAACAATCTAAATATCGTGGAAAAATAGAAAATGTTCAGCGTTTCTTGTACACTCGCCGACTAAAAGGTTGCAACAGATTTTTTTCTATGGTTTTTGGAATATATTCTACTCACCGAGCAATTGGTCTTTATTTACGGATCCAAAAGTAAAAACCAATCGCTCGGTAAGCAAACTGCTTCCAAAATCCATTTAAAAAGTGTTGCAACCTTTTAGTTGATGAGTGTACATGTAGAAACGCAATGTTCAAATGCATTTACTTTTCTCTTAATAATATTATTACCAATAATACTTTATACGTACTTTGTGCGGCTGAACGAAGAATACAAAAATCCACAGATATAAAGGAGCCAATGAATACCAGTAAGAAAGGCATGAACGGTCTCTTGGACGATGCCTTGCTGGCACGATTAGCCATGCTAAAAACTATAAACATAGTTAAAATACTGCTGAAATAAATTATATGTTGTACAAGATATTGTAATTATCGTGCACTTTCAATTGATTTAATACAGTTATCTATTGAAAATTAAGTGACTTTAAATATAATTATAGTTTTTGGAAAGATACATATAATATTTTATTGTCAATTTCGAGAAAACTTCAAAAACTGTAATATCAGTAATAAAGAAATACAATATTTAATCCAACTTTTAAGTTAGAAGAGAATTATTCAAGTTTTGCTGAAGAATCTGTAGTTCACAGAAAGTGTGCGATACCCCGAGACATTTTGTTAAATAAATTTAAGTATGAACTATTCTTACTAAGCCTAAGGGTGCGAATAGTGCACCAATAAAGACGAAATTGAAATTCAAGAATCCATTGATGATGTAATAACTGAACGGCTCAGTGCCATAAAGATTAGGTCCATGGCTGGTGAAAACATTGTACAATATGATGTTTAATGGCGCGATGACAAGTTTGCCAAAGTACAAGGAATCCACCCATACCATTGGTATCACAATTACAATGGCAGATATAATGACCCATTTTATGAATTTGACCCAATCTCGTTTATGTATTAACATTTCAACAGCGATGGGAAGTCTAAAAAGTAAAGTAAGGAAAATGAGTTTCTCTGTTATAATATGTATCATGCCAAAATTGTTCATATTGGTATAAAAATTACCCGAGCAGCGCAGCGAATGGCCATCCAAGTAACGAAGAGATAGCGGTAGCAAAAATAGCCAATTCATACTGGCGAGCATACCAAGCTGCTGTAGCAACAGTACTCAGATACCTGTGATAAATATTAATATCTAATGTATAAATAATGTATCAAGTGTAACTAATATATTTCTCATTTTGTACCCACATTGAAAAAGACGATGGTAAAAACGCAGCACTGGAGATATACATCCCAGAGCTGAGAATAAGGAATACAAATGTAAGTCTCGCCACATGGATTCCAAATTCGCGACAGACACTCCTAGAAAACAGAATTATATACTATAAAAAGTAATGTATCAATCCTTACATAATATATGTGTTAGTTTTAAAGGAAAAACGTACTTGTAAAAGTATACTTCAGATAATGTACAACCCACAGATAGGAAGCATCGCGTAAAATAGAAAACTAACACGGGATTTGGTTCCAATAGATAATGATAAACTTTTGCTGGTACCATGTGAATTAATAAGTACATATACGAACGTAAGGCATATTCAGGGCTGTACTCCCACGTTTGTTGGCCTGTTCCGTAGAGTAAGAAATGACTCTAAGACAAGATATAATGCAGATATAACAAAATGCATTGCGTCAAAGTATATTATATCCATTAAAAATGTCAAAGAATGAGAGAAATTTGTTGTGTTCACGTTGCAAAATAGTCGTCTATCAAAAAAATTTTGTAAAAGGCCTGCTACAAAGTTGACAGAATACCAACACAAATGTAGCAGAATCCGCTATTGCATAACTATTCAAATGATACCATTTATTACAATTAAATAATTTCACTTAAACACTTATTTACAAAATGGTAGATTCTTCTTGTGTGATTTCTGTTGAATTATATTTAAAAGTTCTATTGGCACAATACAAATTTAAGGCACACATAGTTGATACTAATCTGCTGTAATATTCTGCTAGTATACTGTTAACATTTTGCTTACTGAAGATATTCTAGGAATCATTTATTTGTTTTCGTAAAAGAAATTCTACTTTTTAATATTTTTTAAAGAAATATTAGATACAACAAAGGACATGTACATTTCAAAGTATAGTATTTTTAAATTTATGTAGAATTGAATTAAGTTATATTATAAACTTACTGGTTCCCAGTAATTATACGTTTCATCACAGTCTGTTATATGACACCATACAGCAGAGCAAAATCTTGCCGATAATAGCAATTTAAAAGCTGTATCATAGCAGGGATAAACAAGTCCCATGTCGGAAGATTCTTCTGGCCTAAAAATATCATTTAATTATTTCCTTTTTTTTACTATACATATATTCATATTTTTAAGATATTACAATACATATTGCATAGGTCACAGAACATTGTTTTCTATGAAGTTTGCAAGATACAATTAGAAAATATATAATAGTAAAATTAGAAAAATAACAATGAAGATGCATATGATTCTTAGCAGCTATAAGATACAATTGTTACAATAATCAATTGAAAGTACAACAAAAAAAGCAAGTTAATACATGAAATAAATTCCTTTTTTGAGATTTAAACATTTCATATATTAAGTCATGGAAATTAAATGATCGATTTGTAGCATACATTTTT